AGATGGAGACATTATACATCTCTTCTGTTTTGGCCTAAATGTTGCACGTTATATTTCAACTCGCTGTTTAATGAATAGATTGAGAAAAGAAAAGACAATGACTGGGTTATTCACTAAAGTGAGAATTGCTGGGGATTCAAAATGAATTAAAAGTTAATTTCAAATCAAAGTAGCCAAATCTAGTGAATGTTTACAGTTTTTATTTTGTTTTTTTATTGTTCTTAAATTAAAAATTCACCTCGAATTCCCAATAATTCTCACGTTGGGGAATAACCGTATCGGAAAAAAGAGAAACAGTCTGGAGAGAATCCATGGCATAGAGTAAGCAGAGAAATCATGAACATAGAGACTGCAAGACATAAGGCATAGCTTCTTAATTAGGAGTTCAGTATGATTCTGTAATAGTACAAAAATGCAAGACAATAGTGCAATACTGGTGGAACAAATCAAATATGACATATGAACGTTAGGAGTATCACTCACAAGTCAGGAGCCATTAATCACATATGGCTCAATGCGTAGGGAGAACTTTATCGACAGGGAAAGATGGACAATGTCCTGTATTGTTACGTGAAACACAATATGCGTTCCACAAAACGAAAGTTTATAAATTAACCCATATAGTGCATGTTTTATCGCTGTAAAAGCAGGTTAATTAAAACAACAATAATTCTACCAAAGATAGTTAAAAATGATAACTCTATCAAAGAATTACATATTTTACTTTACCTTTATATACTCCATTAATTAAAATAGTAATTTGAATGAACTCATTTCTAAAAAGGAAGGAAAATAGTATTAAAGATAATATTTTTAAAAGTTATTCAGGACACATATTCTAATTAAAGATATAGTGCACTAAAAATATTTTCTGTAAATGTTTAAAACTACTTTTAACATGTGTCTAGAAGAAAATATATATGTGAGAAGTAGGTATTTTGATAGACAAGTGAAAAAATGTGAACGGTTCTTTAGGGATTGGAGAGAACTCATAAAATGACATTCAAAATCTTGATCATAATGTTAATATTTAAAAATGAATTTCATTTCTTCCATCCCGATTTTTTTTTTTGGTATAGTCTCGCTCTCTCCAATCCTTCTTCACCAATTTAATTGCACAAAAGAACAGCCCTTCCGGGTTTTGGTTGTGGAACATCTTAAAATGGTTGGAGACACTGTAACTCCAATCTCTTTTTTCCAATTGACTTTTTATTGAACATTTTCAAATAAGGGGTACAGAAAGGAAAATGGGAAGGGGGCATTTCCTCTGGTATGGAGGTTTATTGTTTAGGTAATCTCTTTTTAACGTTTCTCACATGTTCTGCTATTCGCAATATATTTATTCAAAATGATCATCTTCAACATTGGGTTTCGTTAACAATTGGCGAACTGCTTTCAGACCTATTTCATGGGGTATCAAACTGTAAAGAGATGTCACATCACACGTAACCAGGAGATTTCCTTCTTTCCATGTAATTTCCTGGAGAAGTTGTAGGATGTGAATAGCTGGATTATGGAAAACTACCAGTTGGAGTAAGTTATCTAGGTACTCAGATACTTTTGCTGAGATTGTGCTTTGGGGAGGTGATAGTATATCGGCGTTCTTGGGTAAGTTGTGGAGAGGTACCTAGCTTCATTTTCTGTAAAAATTCCCTTTTCAAGGCCCTTATCGATATAGTTTTCAAATTTCTTTTTGATACTCTGTATTGGGTTCATATCTAGTTTTGGGTATGTTAGTTGGTCCGAGAGGATTCTCTCTGCTTCCTTTATGTAATTATCTTTGGGGAGGATTACTTTTCCTTGTATGCTTTTAAGGAAGCAGTACACCTACAATATGGTGTATCTCAGACAGGGCCGGACTGGGGATACGAAGCAGCCCTGGAAAAAAATCTATGCCAGCCCCATAAGTCATTGTGCTATGTAGGGTGTGTGTATATATATATATATATATATATATATATATGAAATGGAAAAATCAATTAAAGTATTGATTATTTCTTTGTGTATCTGCCCCTGGCCAAATCAATGAAACAATGCGTGCACGCTCCCTGAAGTAATTCACACCAGACACAGGTTCCAGGTTGTTGAATAACTTGAGGAATGTTTATTCAGAGGGGACGGCAAGTCCCTTTTAAAGCAAAATTACATCATAGGTACTGTCAGAGATAACATGGAATAATACATCAATAATTGGTTAGGTGTTAAGTGGTTGCTTCAATGCTCTGCCTACTGTAGGTGATGTCACCGGGGCCATGAGGGTCTCCCACGGTTTCCCGGCGCCATCTTGGTGCACGAGGTAGTTAGTCGATGTTAGGAAGGAGAAAGGGAAGGGGGGGGGAAAGGAGCTAGAAGCTTCTAGCAGCCATCTTAATTATAACGTGTGTGCTTAGCTATATATATATATATCGTGAAATGAGTAAATAGACATTTTTCACTAACTAGGAAATATGTGTAGACCTTATTTCCACAACAGTCCCCCCTAAAATGGCTATTTACCATAACAACTGCTACTGTCCCTAATATGTCCCTAGTTGCCTGCAACCTATCTGCCTTAACTAGCATCGAACACTTCACTCCGCGGGTAACCCGCAGTGGCTAGTCCACTACATCTCCACACGTGAGACTCGCCAGTTAAGACAGACGCTTTCCCTATACTGTCCCTACAGGAAAGCAGTTGTTTGTTTGAACTGATGTGATTGAAGGGGTGTATGTGGAGTATCATCTTCGAGGTCTGTGATGTCTTGGTGTATGAAAGTAGGGGTCACGTCATCTATAGTCTTGTCCACCGCTTTCTGTAGATACTTCTGTATGCAGGGGAATATGCAACAGGTCAGAAATAAGAAAATGACGATCATTATGAGAACAGCTGTCTCCACCTGGAAGAGGGTCCTTTGCCAACCATTCATCCATCCAAACCATCTGTCCCAAGTGTCGATGACTCCTGAATTTTTCTTTAGCTCGTCTGCAAGACTATCTAGCTTCTCTATGGCCATAGTCACCTTACCATTGGGCCCAGTGTTGTCAGGAATGTATGTGCAGCATGTCATGGTCTCAGGGAGGATTTTACATACACCCCCTTTCTCAGCTAAAATCATATCTAGGGCCATTCTGTTCTGAAATGTCATTTGGGTAGTGGCTTGTAATTGCTCTGCCAGGCCCTGTAGGGTATCCCTAGTGTAGTTGACAAAACGCTGTTGATTATAGTAAATATAGTTAATCCAATTGACATTTTTGTTAGCAGTTATCATTGGAATTAGGGACTCAAATCCTGCAGCCACTTCATCTCTTGCTTTGAATTCGTTAGGCACCCCCCTTGGCACACCTATGGCATCAATATACACATGGGGGTCGAAACTCCCTCGAATAGGAGTCTCTCGTTTGGTTCTAGAGTGTGCATGTGTGAGGTTTAACGTGTTATGGTCACCATCTGGAATGATATGGATAGGCATTATGACTTTGGTTAGGGCACACTCCCCCCACCATTGCCCAATTAATTGGGACCTCAATTGTTTATCCCCACATAACCAATAGATATCACCGATTGTCTTTGTGTGGTTCATTAGCAGTGATACGGGTGGATTATGGTAAGTTGAGCAATATCCTGATGGGAATTTGCCCAGATACAAACCGGTGTTTTTAGATATTGTATAACATGTGTAATTACCTGGGTAGATGGTGACTCCATCAGGTGGTTTTACATGTCCGTGAGTGATCGGGTAAATTCTCTTCCACGATTCACATGTCGAGGAATTGGTGACGGACTGTGTGTAAAGGCTCAGAACACATGATTCTACTTCAGGAGGCAAATTCAGAGGAACTGTGCCCAGATGGGGCCTGGCTCCCCCACACATGTAACAATTGGTCTTATTGTGTGAGTTGGCATTATACCTCATCCATTCTAGCCATAAATTAGTGTCTGAAAAACCAGTTTCCACTGCCATAGTGTCTTCAAAGGTGGGGTTGGCTATAGCTACCATGTCATGTAGGGTCTTAATATGTGGTTTCAACGGGTTAACGATCATGTGAGTGGTCCCCACCCAGTCTGGGGAGGTGAGCATGTCTTGTAGGTAGAATGTCCCCAGTGCATTGTGTAAGCCACCTCCCTTCCAGTACATCCCCATCACATATTCCCCCGCGTCCCTTGGACTAGGGTGTTCTATATTCAAGGTAAGTTTAATGGGAGTTGACCCTGTGGGTTTACTAAGAGTCATTCTAGAAAGTAGGGGCTTCCCGTCTTTGTCAAGTCTGTCTAGTGCAACCTGAGGTCTGTAGCCCCATGGTCTACCTGTATTCCACCCGGCAGCTTTCCATGAACTACAGTGGTGTCCCCAAGCTCCTCCAGTCACACAAATGTATGGGTCCTTTTTGTTAGGTATGTCCTTGTATATGGCTGCATGTTGTGTCTGTGGGAATGTACAGGTAACTATGTCACAGTAATCAAAGGTGTATGTAGCTACATCAGTATCAGAAGAATTGTACCAGAAAGTGTAAACATGATTATCTTTGGTTATGGCCACTTGTTGGGCCCAGGCAAAATGCAACAATATAAGAAAACACGAGACACATAATAAATTCATGTTTCAACAAGATCAGCTTCTTCTGGAGCAGGTACTTTTTTGCAATGTGAAGCGTGTATCCAGGAACTTTTTCCAGCTAGTTTAACTGACGTTGCTGTAATCAGGAGCACTTGATAAGGACCATCAAATCTCGGTTCTAGGGTGTGTTTCCTGAGGAACTTCTTAACCATAACCCAATCACCTGGAAGCAGCTTGTGTGTACCTGTATTCGACTCAGGATCTGGAATAGAAGAAAACACTTGGGCATGTATCTTGGTCAAGGCATGTGAAAGGGCAGTCACATAGTCTACCATAGCGTCTGACTGAATCTGAAGCTGTTGGGGAAAGTAGCAACCTAACCTGGGTGCTGTACCAAACAAAATCTCATAAGGTGACAAACTGTATTTTCCTCTGGGAGTGTACCTTACACTGAATAACGCTAGTGGAAGACTCTCGGGCCAGGGCATGTTAGTTTCTTGTGACATTTTAAGCATTCTGGCTTTCAAAGTGCCATTCATGCGCTCTACCTTACCACTACTCTGTGGGTGATATGGTGTGTGGAATGCAAGGGTCACCCCCAGTGCTGACCAGACTTCCCGTGTTAGCGAGGCAGTGAAGGAGGTCCCTTGGTCACTTTCAATTACTTCTGGAACCCCATAGCGGCAAACAATTTCTGTCAAGAGATACTTGGCTGTAGTCCTCGCGGTGAGATTAGTCACTGGGAAGGCCTCTGGCCTCTGGCCAGGAACTTTTTCCAGCTAGTTTAACTGACGTTGCTGTAATCAGGAGCACTTGATAAGGACCATCAAATCTCGGTTCTAGGGTGTGTTTCCTGAGGAACTTCTTAACCATAACCCAATCACCTGGAAGCAGCTTGTGTGTACCTGTATTCGACTCAGGATCTGGAATAGAAGAAAACACTTGGGCATGTATCTTGGTCAAGGCATGTGAAAGGGCAGTCACATAGTCTACCATAGCGTCTGACTGAATCTGAAGCTGTTGGGGAAAGTAGCAACCTAACCTGGGTGCTGTACCAAACAAAATCTCATAAGGTGACAAACTGTATTTTCCTCTGGGAGTGTACCTTACACTGAATAACGCTAGTGGGAGACTCTCGGGCCAGGGCATGTTAGTTTCTTGTGACATTTTAAGCATTCTGGCTTTCAAAGTGCCATTCATGCGCTCTACCTTACCACTACTCTGTGGGTGATATGGTGTGTGGAATGCAAGGGTCACCCCCAGTGCTGACCAGACTTCCCGTGTTAGCGAGGCAGTGAAGGAGGTCCCTTGGTCACTTTCAATTACTTCTGGAACCCCATAGCGGCAAACAATTTCTGTCAAGAGATATTTGGCTGTAGTCCTCGCGGTGAGATTAGTCACTGGGAAGGCCTCTGGCCATCCTGAAAACATGTCCACTATGACCAATGCATATTCATAACGTCCACTCTTTGGCATCTGAATGTGATCAATCTGGATCCTCTGAAAGGGATATTGCGGCTTGGCTAGGTGATTAGGTGCAGTCTTTATAATCTTTCCAGGATTGCATTTAGCACATATAGTACAAGATTTACAGTAATTCTGTGTTAAGGTGGTGATGCCTGGTGCTTCGAAATATTTGTCAATCAGTGAATTCATCAGGAGTTTTGACAGGTGAGCTGGCCCATGGGCCCATTGGACCACCGCTGGGTACATACTTCTGGGTAGGCAGAACTTGAGATTAATGGTGTAAACATCATCACGGAGTATAGCTCCTTTGTTCTTCCAACCTTGTTTCTCTTGGGGAGTAGCAGCAGCTTGCTGTTCCTTCAGAAGCCTGAGGTCTGTAGGCAATGTTTGTAGATAGGTAGTGTATCTGTGGCCACTCTTCTGTCCACTTCCCATCTTTGCCGTGCTGCTTCTTTAGCTGCTTGATCAGCTAGGTGATTGCCACGTGCTTCTTCTGTGTCTAGTCTTCCATGGGCTTTTACCTTCAGTACTGCCACCTCAGCTGGAAGTTCCAATGCGTCCATCAGCTCTGCAATGGCTGCCCCATGCTTTACTGGGGTACCAGTGGCCGTAAGAAATCCTCTGGTCTTCCAAATTAAGCCAAAATCATGTGCTACTCCCAAGGCATATCTTGAATCCGTGTAAATGTTGACACGCAACCCTTCAGACAATTTGCAAGCCACAGTTAGGGCTGTCAATTCAGCTTCCTGAGCGGACTTAGTTGGTTGTAGGGCAGCTGCTTGTAACACTTGACATTCTGTGGTAACTGCATACCCAGTGTGATATTGCCCTTGTTCATCAGCAAATCTTGACCCATCCACAAATAATGTTTGGTCCGGGTTGAGTAGTGCAGCTTCATAGACAGTTGGTAGATGTGTAGTTTCCATTTTCATTTGTTCAAAGCAATCATGAGGGATATCGAGGTCACAGTCTGTGGTGAGTGGATCCTCACAGGCTTCTGTATGGTACCTGGGGTACCCAGTTGTACAGTAATTAATAGTCTTTTTGTTGATTCTCGTAGAAGTCAGTTGTTCTGGGGTCATTTGACTCCAGGTTTTGGCCATCGGGCCTAGGTCTTTCCACGAGATGTCGGGGGGTCTGGTGAGAGATATGTGTGGGATCGATGTTTCCCAATGGTGATAGAGATGTGTCACACTCTCTGGGAGGTGGACCAAGATAAGCATGGTACCTGTGAGGTCCCAGAACAAGTCAGTCAGGGTAATTTGGATTTCTTTGAGTTGGAATACTTCTGCCTCGTAATTCATATCAGGGCCTGGTTCATCCCTAATCCACAAAGTGCAATGAAGTAGGGCCATTGATTGTTCATCATGTGGAGGTGCAAGTGCAGGTAGTTGCAGATCTGTTAGAACTTCCGGGTTGATATCCAGGCTGTACCAGTGGTACACAACTCCCCCCTTGGGAAGTGGCAGAAGAGTGGCCGGGTTCAGGGTTAGGCATCTCTGAAGTTTTATGTTGTCAGGTAAAAGCAATGAGGTTTGCAGGCGGAGGTGGCGTTGGGAGGAAAGGTGCTTGGGTTGAACTTGTTGCAGGATAGCAGTAATGTCATGGGGGGCCAACACGGTAAGGTGATGGCCAAGTACAAAGTCATTAGTCTTGTCCAGGAGAGCACTGGCGGCAAACACAGCACGGAGGCTGCCCCTTGCAACAGGGTCAAGCATACAGGAAAAATAGCCAATGGGCCGTTGTCTGGACCCATGTTTCTGAGTAAGGACTCCGGAAGCATGTCCTGATTTTTCAGAGACAAACAAATTGAAAGAGAGTTGATAGTTGGGTAGGCCCAAGGCAGGAGCAGAGGCAATAGCTCTTTTCAGAGTATGGAAACAGTCAATAGTTTCTTCAGTGAGGTGAAAGGGCTCACTTCGAAGTGCATCATAGAGAGGTTGCATGAGTTTGGATGCTTCAGGTATCCAAGACCTGCAGTATGTGATGAGACCCAAGAAAGCATGAAGAGAGTGATGGGTTGCAGGTAATGGGAGTTGCAGGATAGCTTGCACCCGTTGTGAGGTTAGATGTTTGGTGCCATGGGAAAGGCAGTGTCCCAAGAAGACCACAGAGGGCCGGCACCATTGTAGCTTTGATTTTGAGGCCTTGCACCCGGCAGCAGCGAGGAAACATAAGAGATCTTCTGAGTCACGTTCTGCAATTAGCAAATTAGGAGCACAGAGTAGAAGGTCATCAACATATTGTAGTAAAACAACATCGAGATGAGATTTCTGCCAGGGATCCAGAACCAGAGACATGGCATGAGCAAACTGTGTTGGGGAGTTCTGCGCTCCCTGGGGCATAACAGTCCAAGTATATTGTTGTCCTTCATGTGTGAAGGCGAAGAGAAAACGGCAGGAGGGATCAAGGGGAACACTGAAAAAGGCATTAGCCAGATCCACAACAGTAAAAATTGTTGAAGTTGGTGGCACTTGGGACAAAAGGGTATGAGGGTTTGGAACAATAGCAGTGTCCTTTATGGTTACCTCGTTAACAGCACGGAGGTCCTGTACCATACGGTATTGGTCGGGTTGGCCCTTAACAGTTCGCTTTTTAACAGGGAAGAGAGGGGTGTTGCATGGAGATGTACACTTGGTGAGGGCACCTTTTGCAAGCAGGGTCTCAACTTGTTTGGTGATGGCTTCAGCTTGTGCTGGCTTCAGAGGATACTGAGGTCTACGAGGAGGGAGTGCACCAGGCAGGAGCTGGACCAGGACTGGGGGTACATGTAAGCGTCCAATATCATCCGGGCCGGTGGACCAAAGTTCTTGGGGGATACGATCCAGGGCACTGGGGGTGTGTGTGACCCGTGCATTCCCTGTATTGTCAGTTAGATTCAACAAAATTGGGAGTGAGCAGAGTACAGAAGTATCCTTCTGTGATAAGGGGGTTGTCAACTCAACCTGTCCATCTGCAGTAAAGGTAATGGAAGCCTGGAGCCGAGAGAGAACATCGGCACCTAGGAAGTTAATGGGGCAGGTGGAGGAAACAACAAAACGGGACAGGATATGTGAGCCTACATGTAAGAGCTTGGTGAGGGGGTTACTGCGTGGTGTACCATCCACCCCAACACAGGAGACATCAGTGTCAGATAGGAAGGAAGGGTCTGGCAGGTCTTGTTCCCTAAGGACACTACGGGCTGCACCTGTGTCAACTAAAAAGGTGGTTGGGTGACCCTCCACGGGGAGAACTACAGTAGCTAAAGGTCCTCCTCCATCCCCCGCAGACACTGCCATGGCAGGGGTTGCTGACACAGGCTTGCCAGTTACCTATTGTAATAAATCTAGGTGGGCTTGATCTGGTCCCTGGTACCGGCGGGAGGTGGAGGGAGGGTTAGCAGTATGCATGGGTGGGCGGGATGGACGGAGGGCATGGCGGGGATGAGGTTGGTTGTCTTGGAAGTCATCAGTATCATACCCTTCAGCGGAGGGCGAGGTGTATGCACGGGCTTCTGCTGCGGGGAGCCGGGCTTGGGAATACTCAGGAGGCGGAGGGGGAGGAGGTGGAGGAGGTAACTGAGGCAACTGTGGATGGGGTAGGGCAGGGAGATAACCGGTGGAGGGGAAACTGTAACTGGTGACATGTGGATTTTGGTACCGGGGAGTCTGCTGGCGGAACACTCTAGGGTGTGGGCAATCTCTTCTAAAGTGACCTGGCTGATTACAATTAACCCCTTAAGGACTGGACTGTTTTTGCGATGTTGTACATTTGCGACCAGGAATATTTTTACACTTTTCTGGTGTTTGTGTTTGGCTGTAATTTTCCGCTTTCTCATTTACTGTTCCCATACAAATTATATATTGTTTTTTTCAGGACAAAAGGGCTTTCTTTACATACCATTATTTATATAATCTCATGTATTTTAATTTAAAAAAAATACAAAAAATCTGATGAAAAATTGAAAAAAATACATGTTTTTTGACTTTTACTTGAAAAATCTTTTACTCATCTACAAAAGCGAATGAAAAAAACTGCTAAATAGATTCAAAATTTTGTCCTGAGTTTAAAAATACCTAGTGTTTACGTGCTTTTTTGCTTTTTTTTGCATGTTATAGGGCTATAGGTACAAGTAGGATATTGCGGTTTCAAAACATACATTTTTAAAATTTATCAATAGTGACATTGTAACACTATTATCTGTCATAAATCTCTGAATAACACCCCACATGTACATATTTTTTTTAAAGTAGACAACCCAGGGTATTCAATATGGGGTATGTCCAGTCTTTTTTAGTAGCCACTTAGTCGAAAACACTGGCCAAAGTAAGCATTCATATTTGTTTGTGTGTGAAAAAGTAAAAAAACTAAATTGAACGCTAATTTTGGCCAGTGTTTGTGACCAAGTGGTTACTAAAAAAGACTGGACATACCCCATTTGCAATACCTTGGGTTGTCTTCTTTTGCAAATGGTATGCCATCATGGGGGTAATTCTCATTCCTGGGCTACCATACGCTCTCAAAGGCAACGTAACCAACCTGGCCATTTTCAATGTAAAAATATTTGACCCATATATTTGACCTTGTAACTTTCAAAAATGCTATAAAACCTGTACATGGGGGGTACTGTTTTACTCGGGAGACATCGCTGAACACAAATATTAGTGTTTAAAAACTGGAAAACGTATCACAACAATTATATCATCAGTAAAAGTGCTGTTTGTGTGTGAAAAATGCAAAAAAAGTAACTTTCACTGACAATATCATCGCTGTGATATGTTTTACTGTTTTGAATCACTAATATTTGTGTTCAGCGAAGTCTCCCGAGTAAAACAGTACCCCCCATGTACAGGTTTTAGGGTGTCGTAGAACGTTACAGGGTAAAATACAGTGCTAGCAAATTAAATTCTCTGGAATTTCGGCCTGGGTTGGCAGGCAGGTCCCTCAAATTGCAATCAATAAAATTACTGAATTATGTAAAAATATTACATAAATACGCACGTAGAATTTAAATATATATGCATATTTATATATTTGAAGTCTACGTGTATATTTATATAATTATTTATGTAATTTTGTATATGGACGTATGTATATTTCTTATTATTT